GATGAGCCTGACACACTAGCACATAGAGCCAAGGGAGAGACAGAGATAGAGATAGAGATAGAGATAGAGATAGAGATAGAGAGAGAGAGAAATGACCACATCATCTAAACGGTCCATCTTCTCACCCCTGACTTCATCTTTCTCAGACACTTGAGCCAATAAATCATTTTCTGCTTAGGTTAATTTGAGCTAATTTTTGTTTCGAGAGAGCAAGAGAGCCTGCCAAATAAATACAGCATGGAACAGAAGCCTTCAGAGCAATTATTAAAAATAGCTCAGGGGGCCTGGGGGGGGGGGAGTGTGCATCCTTCAGGGCTTGCATAACTGTCCTAAGGCTGTTCCCTTATTTTACCTCTTTTCATCTCACAGCACCCCTGTGCGTGGTACTGCTGTTATGCCCCTTCACATCTGAGTGCCTTTGTCAAGATGGTTACAGCTAGTAAGAGACAGAAGGGTGTTCAGATGCAGGCACTGCTGCACCGGATTCCCCGTGGTGAACGTCCCTACAACACTGTCTCTGGACGTTCCCAACTCCTGTCTCTCCTACTGCTCAAGAAACATGGGCCACAAGTTTAGGAGATCTACCCTGTCACTTTCCAGGGGTCAGGGCTGAGGGTAACCTATCTCTACTGGAAATTCAGCTCTTACTGTTAGTACAGTATTATTTTGTTGTCTGACATACTTTACGATTTTAAATATTTCCTTTTGTTGAGATTTTTAATCCACTGAGGTTTCCAGGACGTATTTGGCTTGCAGTCCAAAACAACCGTTTGACACGCTGAAGAATGTTTTATCACTTCCCCAGAGAATAAAAAGTGTATTCGAGAAAGATCATTTTCCTCCTGCCCCATGACACAACACTGCTTACCTACCAACAGCTGCTTTAGGCAAAATTACATCCACTTTTAAAAATATTTTCCATGACAATGTTCTCTTTGAAAAATTAGGTCTGGTCTCCTGCCAATTGGAGATTTGATGTAACCAAAGATCTTAATCCAGCTAGAGAACTAAATTCACTGAAAACAGAAAGAAAACTTTCACAAATGTGCTGTTTGCATTCCTACCATGAAATAAGATCTGACCTAGTACTTATCTGGGAAGAACTCCCACCAGAGCTGTGGAAATCTTGTTTCATGATCGGAAATCTTGTTTGAGAAAGAAACCACTCTGCTCTCTGTCCAACAAGACGGACTCCTTCGTTTCCTGATGTTCTCATGTTAATCCCCAAAGCACGACTGGCTGGTAAACAGCACTGGCTGGGAGGAAGGGATAGAAGTTCTAGAGAGTAAATGGAGACCATGTGAGGTGCTGGACTCCACCAGTGATTTCACCGTGAATCATGTGTTTTTTGTTTTTGTTTTTGTTTTTTTCTTCATGGTCTGAGCTCCAAAATGAGCAAGACAAGTTAAAATTTCTCAGAAATTGTAAAGAATAAAACGGTTATAATCTCTGAAATATCAGGTGACATTTGGCATTCATAAGGTCACCCTTTTCTGGGAAAACTTGAATCCATGTTGAAGTGCTTTGGAAACTCTGAAATGATATTCCTAAGAGCCACCCAAAGGGATGTCTGGGTGGCTCAGTCGGTTAAGCATCTGCCTTCAGCTCAGATCATGATCTCAGGGTCCCAGGATCAAGCACCATGTTAGGATCACTGCTCAGTGGGAATTCTGCTTCTCCCTTTCCCCCTGCTTGTGCACTCTTTCTCTCTCAAATCAATAAATAAAATCTAAAAAAAAAAAAAAAAAAAAGAGCCACCCAAAAGAGTTAAAGGGGAGAAAGGAAATAATCCTTGAAGTTATTAAAGAGCTGCGACATTTAAAAATGTTTCTTTGCTAGTCTCATATTTCAAGATATACTACGAAGCTATAATAATCAAAACAATATGGTACTGGCACAAAAACAGACATGTAGATCAATGGAACAGAATAGAGAGTCCAGAATCAATGGAAGAGAATAGAGAGTCCAGAAAGAAATCCATACTACACATCAATTAATCTATGACAAAGAAGGCAAGAATATACAATGTATATTGTATACACAATATACAATTAGGTCTGGTTTTCTTCCAATTGAAGATTTGATGTAACCAAAGACCTTAATGCAGCTAGAGAACTAAATTCATGCTGTCCCTTCAACAAAAGGTGCTGCCTAAACTAGATAGCCACATGCAAAAGAATGAATCTGGACTGCTTTCTTATACCATACACAAAAATAAACTCAGAATGGACAAAAGACCTAAATGTGAGACCTGAAACCATAGAACTCCTAGAAGGAAACACAGGCAATCATCTTTCAGACATTGGCTTTAACAACATTTTTCTACATATGTCTTCTCTGGCAAGGGAAACAAAGCAAAAATAAACTTTTGGAACTACACCAAACTAAAAAGCTGTTGTGCAAAGAAAGAAACCAACAAAACAAAAAGACAACCCATGGAATGGAAGAAGATATTTGCAAATGGCATATCCAATAAGGGGTTAATATCCAAAATATATGAAGAAATTATACAACTCAACTCCAAGAAAAGAAATAATCCTATAAAAAAAATGGGCAGAAGACATGAACAGACATTTCTCCAAAGAATACATTCGGTCAGCCAACAAACACATGAAAAGATGCTCAACATCACTTATTAGGCAAATGCAAATCAAAACTACACTGAGTTATCACCTCACACCTGTCAGAATGGCAAAAATCAAAAACCCAAGAAACAAGTGTTGATGAGGATGTGGAGAAGGAACCCTCTTGCACTGTTGGTGGGAATGCAAACTGGAATAGCCACTGGAGAAAACAGGATGGAGCTTCCTCAAGAAGTTAAAAATAGAACTATCCTAACATCCAGTAATTGCACTGCTAGATATTTACCCCAAAATACAAACATTAATTTGAAGGGATACATGCATCCCTATGCTTATAGCAGCATTATTTACAATACCCAAATTATGGAAGCAGTCCAAGTGTCTATCAATAGATGAATGAATGAAGAAAAAAGTGGTATATATACACAATGGAATACTATTCAGTCATAAAAAAGAATGAAATCTTACCGTCTGCAATGACACAGAGCTGGAGAGTATTATGCAAAGCAAAATATGTCAATCAGAGAAAGACAAATACCATGTGACTTCACTCATATGTGGAATTTAAGACAAATGAACAAAGAAAAGACACAAACCAAAAAACAGACTCTTAACTCTAGAGAACAAACAGATGGTTACCAGAAGGAAGGTGGGTGGAGGGATTGGTGAAATAGGCGATGGGGATTAAGGAGGGCACCAGGTGTTATATGGAAGTGTTGAGTCACTATATTGTACACCTGAAACTAATATAACATTTTATGTTAACTATACTGGAATTTTAAATAAAAAAAAGGATCCTTCCAGCTCTAGTGTTCAGTGTTTCTTAGAAAAAAAAAATGGGCACAGGAACTTAAAAAAGCATTATTACGAAGAAGACATACAGATGGCCACCAGACACATGAAAAACTGCTCAACATCACTAGTGATCAGGGAAAATACAAATCAATACCTTGGGATATCACTTTATACCTGTCAGAATGGCTAATATCAAAAGGACGAGAAGTAACAGCTGTTTGTGAGGATATGGAGAAAAAGGAACCCTCGTGCACTGTTGGTAGGAATGTAAATTGGTGCAACAAGGTTGGAAAAATGTATGAAGATTCCTCAGATTTAAAAATAGAAATACCATGTAAGACAATAACTCCACTACTGGATATTCACCAAAAGAAAAGAAAAACATAATTTAAAGAGATATATGAACCCCTTTATTGCAGCAGAGCCAAGATATGGAAGCAATCCAAGTGTCCACTGACAGATGAAGGGATAAAGATGTGGTATGTGTATACCACGGAGTATTAGTCATAAAAAAGACAGATCTTGTCATTTGTGACAACATGAATGAACTTATACTGAAGTAAGTCAGACTGTGAAAGATAAATACCATAGGATTTTACTTATATGTGGAATCTAAAAAACAAATGAACAAACAAAAAGCAGAAACAGACTCATAAATATAGAAGAGAAATTGGTAATTGCCAGAGGGAAGTGAGTAGGAGAAAGGGCAAAAAATAGTTGAGAGTAGGAGGTACAGGCTTCCAGTTATATTTGCAAATGGCATATCCAATAAGGGGTTAATATCCAAAATATATGAAGAAATTATGCAACTCAACTCCAAGAAAAGAAATAATCCTATAAAAAAATGGGCAGAATCCCTAGGGCTGTAGAATCACTGTGTTGTACACCTAAAACTAATGTAATACTGTGTCAACTACACTTCAAACAAAAGTTTCTGGGCTTTCAAAATACTCATAGTTTTAGAAACAATTCTTAAAAGAATGGTCTATATCCTAATTGTTCCATTAGGATGTAGCATAGAATTCTCTATTTGTATAAACAAATAATATACATCTGCTGATGCATGATATAGAATAACCAAATTCATAATACGGGGCTATCTTTTTTATCATCATGGACTTGAAAACAATACCCTCTGATATCTTTCTCATCATACTGTTTCTATTACTACTTTTCTATATCCTGGTCTCTGCTTCTTTTTTCTATCCTCCCTCCATCTCAGAACAAATCAAAGAATACAAGATATAATTTTGTTATGGCTGTTTGCCTTGTAAGCCCCTTCTCAAACAGATGCCTTTTCTGTACATGGTGAGAGAAGACAGAGACTCTCAGAAAACTAAGACTTCAAAAGCAGATGCATTCATAGAGGAAGCAGAATAGTTCCAGGGAGGAGGTGAAAGGGTTATGAATAAGGAGGGACTCAATGGGTACGGTCTGTGTTTGGGACGAACAGGTTCTTTAAAAGCACAGTGGTGATGGTTGTACAACATTGTGAATATATTTAATTCCACGGAATTGTGCACTTACAAATGGTTAGGATGGTAAATTTATAGGTTACCCTAGTTAAAAAAAAAAAAAAAGAAAGAAAAAAAGAGGGGAAAAAAGCAGATGCAGCACACAATCTCTTGCAGACATGACCAATTTATTCCGAAAATTCAAATTTCAGTTTGGCAAAGTATATCCAGGGACAGAGCGTTTGGGATAGTCATTTCATTGGAAGCAATCACATTTTCTAGAGCTAAATGTCCATGGGGTAGTATCTAAAAGAAAGAAAGCCAAACTTTAAAAAATAATTTAGTGTGTGTGGGATGATCATCATAAATATTTGCAAAGTCAACAAAACAATCAGCTTATACAACCAAGGCATGAGAAATGCTTATGCTAGTAGTACTCTTTTATTCAATTTAGTTCAACATAAAGTAAGCACCTAATTTATTCAAGACACTGGGCTAGCTGCTGGGGTTGAGGTGGAGATACAAAAATCACCAAGACACAATCCCTGTCCTTAGGAAGTTTACAACAACACATATAAAAATGAGTACTATAGGTGAGGTATAAAATAACTGCTCTAAAAACATGGAGGAGAGTTTACTTCTCAATAGAGATTAAAGTCAGGACTCCCTTAAATTTGGTGCTGTGGGTGACACAGGATACAGCATGTCAAGTGAAGAAAGTCTGGTGTTTTACGCATGGCTTGGCGACAGGAAATGGACTAGCTCCTCTAAAGCAGCTTTAAATGTGTGAATAGGGCAGGTATTTATTTTTATTTTAATCCCTCTTGTCAACGTTAGTCCATTACGAGAGATGGACCAGAAGTGAGATCCATTAAAAAAACAGAGTTTGAGGAGGCAGGGACATGAACAGGAAACACCATATCATAGTTCAGAGTAAATTCAACCCCGTGTGTATGTACATCTAGTAGCTTAAGGAACGTCATCAAATGGGGGGTAAATCCATCTGGAGCACCACAGTTCATCATGGCAGAACATGGTGTCTCTTGTTAGACTGTAAAACTAGCTTTGGCTCTTGCCAGTGGAGGATGTAATGCTACATGGAAACTGGGAGTCCATATTTTTACGCATGAATTAAAGTCTTTAAACATTACTACGTCCTCAACCCCGCAAAAATGAAGAGAGCTTAGGAGAGAGAATTTGGGGAGAGAGAGAAAGTCGTTCTAGGCTAACAGATCTAATGATGACTTGGCATGCTGTATTTCCTATTTAAAAAATACAGGATGAACAAGTCTTTCCTGAATAACTTACTATGTGTTGAACATACCTCAAGAGGAATTTTAACGGAACATACTACTAATCAAACATCACAGTTTCTGCTTTTGTAATTTACACAAATTACCTTAATTATAATACTTTAGGGAACATTTACACAGTATGTAATGTTGTTTTAAGATTATTCATCAGCCTTAACTTCTAGAAGTTTGGCTTATATTATCCCACCCCCAAAAAAGAAAAACCCCTACTTATAAATCTCATTTTCCCACAGAATTAATTCACCATCCAACTTTAAAAATAACTTTAAAAATAAAAAAAGAGACCAATAGTAAATTGGAATGCTAATACCTGCCAGGCTTTGATAAAATAAAAATAAACAACTTACATAAACAGCACCTCATGAAACCAAAGCTTTCCTTTGAAATACAAAGTTCAATTCTTCTTGCCCTCTTAGAAACTGCTAATCAGAATCCCCCATTCGCCCCCCACTTCAATCCAGGAGCCATTCTGGTTAAGTCACTGAACACACAATATTTTTAAATTAGCATTAATAAATTATTGACATGGTACCATGAGTAGCTATTTTTAAAAACCAAAGCAAGTCAGAGGACTAGTAGAACAGATATAATAGCACACTGAAATGATTTAAAAGAAAAAAAAATTGTTAAATGTACCTTATCCTGGTCTTGTATTATTTCAAATTAAAAATCAAAGGATGAAGTATCATTTCAGACCTATATACATCAAGATGCCAGTTCTTATAAAAATGTACTTTAGTTGTAAATGCTAGGTTATGCAAAAATAAGTTTATATCAATTGTATTTAACTTCAATGAATTCCCCCCAACTCTAATATTAAAAATGTTAAAAGAACTTAAATTTTAATGGCAAAAAGTTCCTATTTTCCCCATCTATTAAAAAAAGATTTTGTTTTCCCTTATTAACATACAATGCCCTATTGTTAAGGCACAACTTTTTTAGGATAAAAATGAAACAATAGTTTAGGTTTATTTTATACAACAGTTACGAGACAGACTTTTTGTAGGCATACACTGAAAATAACACATCTCAAATTCAACCAAGATCAAAAATGAAAAATCAGTTTCTATCCAGGACCAGTCAACACATAGCCAAGATAAAGAGTTACAGCTAGAAAAACCCAAGTAGTTTCTATTTTCAACCTGCCAAGGATTGTCTCCATAAGGCCATTTTCAAGGTGTTATCAAGGAGAGGCAAGCTGGAGATATATATATATATATATATATTTTTTTTTTTTTGAGGACTAGAGGGTGGTGGCACCCCAGCTTTACTTATGCTTGTCACCTTCAAAACCTAAGTGAGATCCAATTTTTGAACATCTGAGACAGTGGCAGAGTTCCTGATCCCAAGGCTCAAGGCAGATGTTTGCTCTGCATCCTCCCTCTGCTACTCTTCCCTGGAGCTATCTTTCCTCTTTCCCACCCTCTTCTTAGCCACTGCCCCTCCCTTACTTCCTCTGACCTAATTTTCACAAGATTCAAAGGGAGCGCCCAGCAAACAGAATTTGCACAACTGTTACTTAAAACACATGAATCAAAACACTTGTTAGCTTCACCATACAACAGTTCATTTGAATGTTGATTTAAAATCAAGAAAACACACTAAAATCAGAGGAAAGAGGACAATTGAATACCAGACAAGTATGATCCACCTTGTAGGCCCTTTGTAATCTCAACTGAAATAAGGACAGAAATATGAAAACAGAAAAAGTTTTCTTAAGCAGGCTTATATACCTAATTCTCATACTTTCTGCATTTTTCATTCTGTGAAGAATGGATCTGAAGAAATGCTTTGTAAAGACAGAAGCACTAGATTAGATTTGACAGTGTAAATATTATGGTTTGGAAGGTCATTTTCCTTTACCTTTTGAGAATAGTCTTTGAGAAGTAATGATGAACCAGAACTCTGGCCCGGCTTCATCTCCCTGACCAGGAACTGAACTAGAATCTCAGTTCTACCATAAGACTTCAGCAGTCTACCTTGAGAGAGAAGTAGGTCCAGGAGAGAATTCAGGAGTTTAGTGTTGAGAAAGAATACTAGTGAAGAAAGAGGGGCAGATTTGGAAGAATATCAATGGGCTGGGGAGCCAGGGAACGAGGTAGAGATGAAGGGCAGAGCAAGGAGACAGCTAATAAACACTGAAATCACTGACACTACTGCTTTTACTAAATGTGATGTGTAAAACTCAAAGTTTAAGGGAACATTGTGCTCTAAATGAGGGCAAAGATAAAGGAAACGGAAGGGAAGACTAGGAATTGGGGAGGTGAGGCTCACTAAAAGTTCAACTCGTTATTTTTCTACATTTTAAAAGTAATTTTATGTAATTCTGGAAGATACTACATGTCTCACTTATTCATGGTGTTTTACTTTTACTGGTATGTTCTGGCACAATAATGTCTCACATAAATAAATATAAATACTGTTCTTTGTACTTATATTACTTCTGTGATGTATATCAACTTTTAGAAACAAAAAAAAAATTAAAGATTAATTTTCCAAAAAAGCACTTAAAAACCATTAGTAACTAGACTATCCCCAATAAATTATAAAAATAACACATTTAACTGTCAGCCAATATCTTAATTTTTGCACATGACACAAGCCCTTTGCAAAGTTATTATCTACATGCAGATTAATGGAATAAAAATAAAATCAAAGCAATCATGCTTGCTAATATGATCTAGTTTCATTTCCATTAAATTAGAAAGTATCCATATATTGAAAAAAAACTCCAATTAAATGCCATTTCCTAATATGCCAGCCTTCTTGCCCCATGTTTGACATATTACAATTAAAATAAATGTTTATATCATGACTCTGGAAACACTATATGCCTTTGCCATCTCTCCTGAGAAAAAATGCTCTCATTTCATTGCAAAGTAAAAAAGATGAGGTCTCTAGTATTCTGTTCTGAATCCCTAAGTCCTGTTTAAATATGAAGTGATCCAACTACCAAAACTTTGTATTTTTGCTGAACAAAATCATACCTATTGAGGCCCACTACACTATCAGGTTTGTGACCAGATGCTAGAGACTGAGTGGAAACTTGTGCATCATGCTTGATTCAGTTCCCAAAGAGCAATTCAAGGGCTTTGGAAACCGTGTAAAATGCAGACCTAAAGTTGTATGCACATTCCACCAGATGAGGATGTCCATTCTTTGGTCAATTTTACCTCCAAGATAGGAAAAGAAACCATTGTTTTAAAGAAAGAAAAGAAGACAATGAGCAAACCCCTCTCCCCCTGCTATCAGTAGGTTATAAAATATAAGGACATCTAAGTCACATGAAATAACAGTATTGTTTACACGAAATTTCAATACCACACAGAGAAATCCAACATCCCAATGAACAAACAAAGCAAGGTTCTGATTACAGTGACATAGTGAACATGCCACCACTTTTCTTTCAACCAGATTCTGCCTACTGAAATAAAACAAAAATTAATCAAAAAGTAACATTAACCTTCATTATTTTAACCTGAACAGAAACTTTAAAGTATCTTAAAATTTACTACTTTGACACTATGTTAGATCCATTTTTTAATGGTAAAAGCAACCATATATCATTCTTGATGAGAGAATCTCTACATATAAACCTGGCAAATTTTTTAAAAAGTACTAAAACAGAGCTTTTGAAAATAACGAAAGCTAGCTCAATTTATATAATATTAAATGACTCAATTAACAGAATAATTTATACTTTTATAGTGCATAATTTATCCCTACGGAGAAAGCGTACCAGAATCCTAGTGTTAACCCTGAAACCTTAATCCAAACCTTACAAGTTAAAGACTAAATGTTGGTCAGGAGGGAAAGGATGGAACCATGCATTGTCCACAGAGCAAACAAAAGCAACAGGAAGATGGCAGAAATGTTGACCCCATGGGTACAAATACACTTTTCTGTACCAAAACAAAACACACGCACACGGAAATTACAATTACAACGCAATCATCATACAGCTATACTCTCGACTAGCTGGTGAACCTGTTATTAAAATTTCAAAGAAAAAAAAAACAGGTTAAGCGTTTTCTGTTTTAATCCATAAGAAATATTCAGTAACAACAGATAAATAGAGCACTTGTTGCATATTAATGAACATGTGGCTTCTTGTGCTTTCCATCTGAATTAGAGGTAAAAACCCCCAATTACTTTAGTTTCAATGAGATACAATTGTAAAGTAGTATTAAATCTACACAAAATCAATCCTTTCTTCAGCCCAATTATGTAGGAAAGTACTAACAAATAGTGAAGATTCATGATGTTGTGTGAAAATGGTGACTCGTAACAATGTAGACTCAGCTATAGATTTTAATTCACATATATATGTGTGTGTGTGTGTATATATATATTTATATATATACACACACATATATATATTTACCTTGTGTATGACAACCGTACGAAAATAGTCTCAAAAATAAAGACAATACTTGAGACACGAAGCAACCCACTTTCCCTGATCTTGCATCCTATTACAGGGAAAAGAAGTCTCTGATGCTTCATAAATACTTTAAAAAGTTCAGGATGGCCTTAACCATGCATAGTCTCCACCGACGCTTTGAATTTGAAGCCCCCAGCGTTTCAGGCTGATTGTTCAACTCAGGAAGAGCTGTGACCTGTGATGGACTTTGCTTATTTATGTCCTGTCTTGTCTAGATCTGGGAGTTTTCTGACCAGAGCTTGGTGGTTCATTCTGATGCTAGCAAGGAGCCCTCCTTCAATGCCATCAGAACCAGTGTAACTGATTTCTTCACCACTCAGGGTAGTCATATGTCCCCCAAGGGCTTTTAAGATGGCATTCCCAGCACATATATCCCATTTTTTGATGTATGTCACATGGATATATAGATCAGCTTTTTCTTGACTCTTATCAGGTACATCCAAGAGTGCTAAAACTTTATAACCTAAAAGATAAACAAAGAATTTAGGTTACTATTCAAAAGAGTTCAAAAAGTAGCTTATTTAAGAGTACACTGTGAAAAATAACAGCACAGGACATGCCAGAGTTCTCGATACTATCTCTGCAACTGCGAAATCTAAAATTACATAAAAATAGTTTTGTTCTCCTGGTCAGTTGGTTAAGCATCTGCCTTCTGCTCAGGTCTGATCCCGGATCCTGGGATCCAGCCCTGCATCAGGGCTCCCTGCTCAGTAGGAAGCTTCCTTCTCCCTCTGCCTCTCCCCCTTCCCTGCTCATGAGCGTGCTCTCTCGCTCTCTGCCTGTGCTCTCTCACTCTCTCTCTCAAATAAATAAGATTCTAAAAAAAAAAAAACCCATTTTGTTCTTTTTTAAAAAAAAAAAGTTAACAGCATAGGGGATCCCTGGGTGGCGCAGTGGTTTGGCGCCTGCCTTTGGCCCAGGGCGCGATCCTGGAGACCCGGGATCGAATCCCACGTCGGGCTCCCGGTGCATGGAGCCTGCTTCTCCCTCTGCCTGTGTCTCTGCCTCTCTCTCTCTCTCTCTGTGACTATCGTAAATAAATAAATAAAAAAAATTAAAAAAAAGTTAACAGCATAGACATTATATTAAACTCAAATGAGTAAAAGATACATTGTAAAGTAACTTATGAAGCTATTCTCAAGTAAAACATAATAAACATCTATTAATCTTTTAAAATTAAATCTACCTTGTGGTTGTTTTCTACAGACCTATCGACGTATCACTATGTACCACTTCCTGTGGAATACTACACTGAAGCTCAATACCCACAGGTTTCATTTGGATAGCTAGAACACTGGATTTGAAAGAAGACAAAATAACACAATCTTAAGCCCTTTTTGTAATGAGGCAGAATTTTTTTTAAATTTAAAAATAAACACAGAAGAAAACAGGTCTAGAGTCTGGTTTATCCTTCCTACTGGGTATTCTGAACATTACCTTACCTAACTAACATTAACAGAGAGCTTATAAGAAAATAATGAAGTCCTACTAAGTAAGGTACATTTATATAATCACTAAATTCAAACTATTAGGCTTAAAAGTTTTAATAAGTATTGTTTTTCCCCTTATTACTGTGGTGAAAAGATTTTCAAACACACATTTCTGGCCATACTTTGTTATGTATTTGAATTAAAACACTTCTGTCATATTAAACAGCACTCAAAACAAGGGAGGGCAAATGGCCTGTGAGCCAAATCCAGGCCACACACTGTTTTTGTACAACCCTCAAGCTATGAATGTTTTCTTTGTATTTTTAAAGGGTGGTAAATAAAACAAAAATCCAAGAATAGTATGCAAGGGAGTCCACACGTGGCTCATAAAGCCTAAAATATTTACTATCTGGCCTTTCAGAAAAAATAAGCAGACCCCTGATCAATAACACAGTAATAAAATACTGCAGAATACTGTAAGCTGGGTGGCCACCAGACTCTGGCTCATCCCATACATGCAAGCTGGAGTTCAAAGGTGTTAAAAGTACCCAGGGATTAGCCATTCTAATAACACTTCTGGTGACTCCTGGCATCTTTCTATCACATGAAACATCGTAATGTGCTTGATCTCCCTTCTTTCCCTGACATTCCTACAGTTAAGCTAACAGCACAACTATTTTGAAATTAGATCATATATAAAACCACTATCAATGGCACATCACTGACATGAGGATGCTTTTGTAGTATTTGAGGAACAGAAGTCACTGTTGTGAGACTATTGTCCCTCCTGTGAGGTTGTTTCTAATAAGAAGGCATGTGGGACTTGAAATCCCACCCTAGAAAATGAAGTAGGAGACTATATCTGTCTGCAAAGCACGTCTAGCCTTACTTTTTGCCCAAGCACAGGACAACCAACTCCTTCTTCCAATGTAAGCCTTGACCATGCTGGGGACACTGGACACACAGGGGAGTAGGCACGTACCAGCACCACCAGCCGGGATAATTGTAGTCTGGTTTCCAAAAGTCTGAAGAGCAACTTGTTTGACCATTCCTGAATGCGAACGTGACACAATGATCTTTGGGGTCTTCTCATTGTACGAAGTGCGGGCTTTCACATTGGACCCACCATCTACCATCGCCCAAGCTGAAAAACAAACATAGTATGCATGAAAAGCACTGAAGCTTTCTGAAATGGGAACAAAGTATCAAGAGTTAACTGACAAGATCCCTTTCCACAGAACTACTTGTATCACCCCCCCAAAACAGAAATGCTTATTTTTTTCCTGAGAACGAGTAATATTTAATATTTTTTACATTAAAATAGGCAAATATTAAGACAAACTAAAAAAAAAAAAAAAAAAAAAAAAAGCCATGTGATCCTGCCCAGCCAGAGATAATGACTACTAAAAACTTGGCTTAAGAACTCCTAGGTCCCAGGGATCCCTGGGTGGCGCAGCGGTTTAGTGCCTGCCTTTGGCCCAGGGCGCGATCCTGGAGACCCGGGATCGAATCCCACGTCGGGCTCCCGGTGCATGGAGCCTGCTTCTCCCTCTGCCTATGTCTCTGCCTCTCTATGTATCTCATGAATAAATAAAATCTTTAAAATAAAAAAAAAAAAAAAAGAACTCCTAGGTCCCAGAGCTCCCTGTGAGGTGCTGAGCTCTCACTGGGATTCACTGCAACTCAACAGCGCTCGTACATAATCTAATCTGGCTTCCCTCCTCTCTTACACAAATTTGATCCCAAGGGCATTCTTTCCTGAACATCCTGTGTGCTAATCTCCATCTCAAAGTCTGGCTCCTGGGGAATTCAATTTGTGACAACCTAGGACAGAAGCACAACTCTGTTACCCTGGATAATTCAAAACTTAAAAATAGGTTTTTCTCCTAACTACCTCTATTTTTTATACATCCATGGTTTTTCACTTACTTGCATATTGGATCAATCTCCTAAAGAGCTTTATAAATATAAAACAGCTAAAGAGGTGAGTGAAGTTTACATATCTACTATATCAGAGAATATAAAAAGAAAATGCTCTAGACTTCAAAATACAACAGAAATTTGTAAGGTGAGGAGACCCTAGAAATGGTTTGCAATGTTTTTCTAGGCTTGGAAGTTATCTTCATTGACTACCAAGCTACACAAGAAAATATACTTACTCAGTATTATCCCAACTAGACTGTTGTTCTAGCAGTCACTCATTAGAGAGTAAAACAGTCCACCATGGCTAGCAACGAAAGCCGCTGCATTACCACTTACTCCTGGTTGCAGGAAAACAATAAAAAAAATGAAGAGTGTCTGGGTTTCTGGGTGACCCAAGGATGATGGCAGTCCCCTGGATCCCTCTCACACTTCTGTCTGAAGACCACACATAGCCATAAGGAGAGCAACACCCTTATCAAGAGCTAAAGAATGAGCAGGAGATGAAAAACAGTCATAAACACAAATAAGAAGGAAGGGAAGTAAATACTGAAGATCGATTGGTAGAGTAAGTGCCAAAGCTGACCCGAGTGTGGGGAATACGGCAGGAGCCGCACAGAAGTGCCAAGAGGCTGGAGGACTCTCAGCAGTGGTAGAACTCCGAGAACAACAGTCAAGATTTCCTCCCAGAAGGAAAGGGTCACAACTAAAATGAGAAATACTGAAAGTAGGTCTGAGACATGGCAAAAGAGCAGCGACAAGAGGAGACATGGAGAAGACACAGAGCCAAAGTGAAGTCCTGACAACAGACCACATGACATCCAACATCTTTCAGAAAGTCTCTCTATGAGAGACAATTGGAAGACAGCAAACAGAACTAAGAAAAAGAAGAGGTTAAAGATAAGGGCCTTCCTGAAACAAGACAGGATCGAACAAGACAGAAGAATGATGAAAACAAAACAAAAAAAAAGATGCCTAAAAATAAAGATAATGGTTTCCTTGCTCTAACAGAAAAGAAAGTTCTTGAACGAGAACAACCCAAATTCCTTTTCTCCAGCCACCTTCCCACCAACTGCACAGTGGCCAGCCCAAATGGGAATAAGAAATCTGAACAACTGCAATGTCCACTGAAAAGTAGAAGAAAACACAATGAATGACAGTTAAAATATTTCAGGCTACTTGAAAATTCTATAAAGCAGAATAAAACTATAATACAACATTCAAAGATGATTAAAAATAATAAGCAACAACAAAAGAACATTGTAGAACAAAAAAACAACTCAGGAAAGATAAATAAAAAGGAAGATATGAAATTGGAACTCACATAATACAGGAAAGAAACCACAAACAATAACGACAAAAATAATCACTTAAGACTTAGCACTAGATCACAGGATACACAGAAAAGCAACAGATCGGTCCAAAGCATAGCAAGCAATGAGAAAAGCAAAAGAAAGTAAGTGAAACAAACAGATAAAAGGGACCAGAGAGAAAGTAATAGAGACAGAAGTCTGTGAAAGAGTCAATACACATATATTAGGAGTCCCCAAAAAAGAAAGAATGAAACAGAACTAATCTTTAAAACTTTGATTCAAAAGAATGTTCCTGAAATAAAAGGACTTGAATGTCCACACTGAGAGACATACTTTGTAGATATCTGCCCAGAATGCCAACTCTGAATCTGAGATATATCATAGTTCTATTATTACACTTTCAAGATAAAGCTCTTTGGCATTCCAGGCAAAAATACCAAGCTACTTACAAAGGAAAGAAAATCAGATTATCAGCTTTTCTGCCAGCAAGATTCAACATGCACACAACACAGATATTACATAGGTTCAACAGTTTCTACCAGTTAACCAAGAAACAAGAGTGTACAGTGGGTAAAATAGAGCCCTACTAAAATTCCTGTCTATTGGGAACTTTCAGAATATGACTTCATTTGGATATAGGGTCTTTGCAGATGTAATTCAAGCTGAGGTCATACTGGATTCAAGTGGGCCCTAAATTCAATAATTGGTGTTCCTGTAAAAACAAGAAACAAATACCAAGAGAATGTAAAGTAAAGGCACAAACTGGAGTGATAGGTCTATAAACCTAGGCATGTCAACAAACGCCGGGAGCTGCCAGAAGCTAGAAGAAGCAAGAAAAGATTCTTCCCTTGAGCTTTCAAAGGGAGCATGACACTGCCAACAACATAATATCAGACTTCTGGCCCTTAGAACTGTGAAAAAACAAATTTCTATTGTTTTAAACCTTCTAGTTTGTGGTAATTTATTAGAGCAGCCCAAGGATAGAGGGCTACACCAAAGAGTTTGTAAGCAATTGAGAGTCTTTCAAGAATCAAGGCTACAGAAAAAGCTTTTAACGTGTAAGAACAGGTATGACCTCGATGAGCTAGCTCTCCTAAAGTAATCTATTAGAGGACAAGCTTTTATCCAACTGAAGGATGACTGAAGAACTCTTAGCAAAAGCAGTGTTGGTCAGCACTGAATAAATTTAATTGTGGATTTAAAAGGAAACCAAAGATAGGAATAAAGGTGGAAGAATAAAAGTGTGTACGTGTTATCTTACACTTGATTGGTGAGAGTCAAAGGGTATCATTTAAATCTGAAGAGTTGAGGAGGAGAAACACATTATCAAAAAAGGTATAACTGATTAAAATGGGATGGTAGTCAGGTAGGCTAAAATGAGCAGATTTCACTGTTGCTCACAGGGGAGAACCAACAGACGAGACCTAACCTAAAGGACCATATAATGGCATTTTAACAGAAAGATATATAAAAAGGTGTTAGTGACAGCAAGCAATGAGAAGAATAGACTGAACTTAAAAAATAATGCCTGTAGTTTGCATTGCACTGGATATACAAAACTCTGTGAGATCTTAAATTTATTTTTTTTTAAAAAGGGAAAAAAGTCTCCTCTTCCCTGAAAAAATAACATCTGTACCCCCTGGAGGTAGTTTTTACTCAAAGGCCTTACTTAGAAATTCGTGAAGAAGTTAAACATGTATTTTGTCTTTCTATTAGGAACTACCTTTCAGGATAAACACATAACCCCAGTTGATGAAGAAATTTCTCAAAAGAAGAATTCTAGCTAATATATGTAGGAAAAACAACAGGATTAGAAAATCCCATTTCAGACTATAAGGGAGAGGAGGGAAACTGAGTGGGGAAAAATTAGAGAGGAAGACAAACCATGAGAGACTCCTAATTCTGGAAAACAAAGGGCTGCGGAAGGGGAACAAGTTGGGGGAAGGGGTGACTGGGTGACAGGCACTAAGGAGGGCACTTGATGGGATGAGCACTGGGTGTTACACTATATGTTAACAAATTGAATTTAAATTTTAAAAAAGGAAAAAAAAATAAGAAAATCCCATTTCACATCTTTAATAGATCTTAAAACTATTACGCGAAACGTTTAATAGAACCCTGATTTCAAATGGTTCCAAAATATTTCTCCAGATACCTGCTAGCAGCAAGAGAAGCAAAATAATTTATAACAGAGATCTGGTAGTGACCACTTTAACTATCTTATAGCATCAATAATAATGAGAAAAGATAATTACATGTCATATAAAATGATGCAGGAGGAAGTGCACAAAGGATATCTACAACATATTCCTGACAAAGATCCTTAACCTTAATCCAATCAAGGTTTCAGATCTAATTTTCACTTTATAAGAAATAGACGATGAAAAGTAAACAAGTTAAATGACACTCTGAGGAAATAATCAGAAGAATCCAAAAAGCAGAACATTATGTAATAAGTAACTTGATCTCAACAAGTCAATGTCATGAGGAAGAACAGGACTAGAGGTTATTCTAAAATAAGAAAATATAACACAGCAACCAAAAAAATGCATGTCATTTGACTGGATCTTGGATTGAAGTAACCAGTTGTAAAACCCACTCCAGAAACAACTAAGGGTGGGCAGCCCGGGTGGCTCAGCAGTTTCGTGCCGCCTTTAGCCCCAGGTGTGATCCTGGAGACCCAGGATCGAGTCCCATGTCAGGCTCCCTGCATGGAGCCTGCTTCTCCCTCTACCTGTGTCTCTGCCTCTCTCTCTGTGTCTCTCATGAATAAATAAATAGTAAAATCTTAAAAAAAAGGGGGGGGGAAATAAATGTTACTTTTATTATATTCATAATAACATTATAAAATAATAGTATTACATTAACACTATATAAAAAGATGCAAAGTGAAGTACATAGGGGTAAAATG